AATGAGTATAACTCGAACATCAATTTCCGATTACGAGTTATTACCTCCAGAAATTGGGACACGCCCGATAATAAGTCACGAGTTATTTTGACATTAGATTTTCATAATAATGAATACATTATATATATTCATAAAACGAATACAATTGTCGAAGATTATCGAGAAGAATTGTGGAATAAACGCGAGAAGTTGTGTTTCAACCATAAAATCTGAATTAATCCTTTACACTGAAAGAGAAGGGTTGGTATTTGTAACATGTAGGATCATATAGAGAAATAATTATTACAAATTTTGGTCAAAAAATCATTTTTTTATTAAATCGTATTATAATGTTAATGGTAATAACCTTATATGTGTATTATTATTCTACCATTCTACTTGAAAAAAATGTTTATTAAAAATAACTATAATTTCAGTTATAGACCAACTATTTTTCTCTCAGTGCACGCTCCAAATGCCAACCTGTTTGGCTTTGAGAATTCAGTATTCTGTTTACATGTGCCAATTCAGTCAACAGTAATAATAAAATTGCACTAAATTTCACTCACAGAATAACGCGCTAATATTGACAGGTGAATTCTTTTCACAGTAATTATATGTAAACCGTCGACGTCGCGCAAAAATCTACAGAGCGCGCAAAAGATTAATACCTGCATCTGGAGTATATCTGCGAACGAACTGACCGCTTCAATGTCCGTCGAGTGTCGATATCATATTCCTTCTAGCGTAAATATCACCTTCGTACCGCACCGATGCGTCTCGAAGGACGCGCATGCGACCAGTTTGAACGATCTCGCCGAGCGGCCCGCACTCCTTATTTTGCACGGCAAAATCCCACGACATTTATCTTGCACGTCCTTTCGGAATTATGCAAAATGCGTCGAAATCCGAGTACTCGGCGAGTACGATCACGCGCGTTTCGCACCGCACCGGTCGCCGGTGAGTGTGCGAGTAACGCGACCGTAACTCATTGCAAGTTTGTGCCGGTTGTGCCCGCGCTTAACTCATGCCCATGTCACTAGCTCGCTGATGTACAACGACTACGTGTCGGCTTTGCTTAGGACGCGATTTCCCGCTGATGCGTTTCTCGTGGCGTACATTGCGTGCGTACGCCGGCGCGCTCGTCGCCATCGCGCCGTTCGCGACCGTAACGGCGAGCAATAATTAACACGTCGTAATCAGGAAAAGCGATAAATAAAATTCCACGAGACTGTCGGAGCCGAGGAATGCGAGTGCTTCATCTTGACGCAGAATTCAACATCGAAATGATAAACGATAGTCATGTGAGGAAATGAGAAAAGAACATCACAGCTAAAAGAAATGGAATATTTTGCGCATTTCTACTCTTTTAGACCAATACCGGAAAATTAGTTTGTTGACGCAAACCTCTGTATCGCTCATGGCAGTAACGGATAGCAATAGTTGACATGTTATAACCAAGAAAACGGTTCAATAAAATTTGAACTCAAAAATATAAAGATCAATAAGAATCAATGCACAAATATCATAGTGCATTGAATTCAATCTACTCAAACTATTCATAAAAGTTAAGATATTATTTAATATATTCCATATAGTTTTAGATATTTGTGTATTCCTATTTTTTGGGAATACGTTAAATAATCTAATTTTTATAGGTAATTTGAGTAGATTAAATTCATTGCATTACAATATCCGTACATTGTCCTCATTGGCCCTTATATCTTTGAGTTCCATTGTAAGTCAGAGAGTCATAATTCCTTTAATTTTAAATCAAATTACATGAAACTATCGGAAATGAAAAGCGGAAGATTTTATCTTGTCGCAGAATTCAACGTCGAGATGATGAATGATCGTCGTATAAAAGAAATTAAGAAACATCACAGTTACAGAAAATCAAACAGAATATTTGATATATCTACACTTATATCTCTACTCACTTTCGGTCTATATTCTTAATAAAAAATTATTTTGTTATTAACGCAAAGTTCACATCAGCTATGTGACAAGCAAGACGTTAAATGCCGATGTTGTCTGAGCGCCGTTTTTTCACAAGGCGGCCACCGAGCGTAAGAGTGAAATCGTAACAGCGGTCGGAAAAGCCGCGAGTATAAATCGCGAGATCATGCGCGCAGCGCAATTCCGCCTGTAACACAATAAACCCGCCACTTATAAATTCTGTGCGCTCTTTTAGGTTCCGCGGACTCGCGCTTTTGCTATTTCTCTCTCTCTCTTTCTTATAAGAGGGAGAGGCTCTCCTGCTCTCTCGCTCCCAAAGATAGAGAAGCGGAGAACAACGGCGGTGCGGGCTCACGAATCGTCGTGGTTCGCTGTCAGATCGTTAGGGTATGGCTCGCGTACGGCTGCATAATTAATAGAAAAGTACAAGCGACAGCAGCATGCAGCGGCGGCGGCGGCGGCGGCGCAATCCGTGGACAAAAGTATCCGAACGAGATGACGGTGGCAGATAATTGTGGCAGGGTACACGGTCGCCTAGGTCGCTTGGAAATTCGTGGGAGGAGGAAGAGCGAGGGAAGCGAGGAATAGGATAGCGAGGGGGACGACAACGACGAAGACGCGGCGCGGCGCGGCTCGGCCGCGGAGGTGGCCGAGGAGAAAGAGGAATTGGAAGTCAGGCACGACGCGGAGACGGCGAGTCGCGTATGTTCCATACTGTCCGCGGCTGTATACGGCCGCGAGTGCGTGACAAATAAATGCCTGCCCGCAGCGAAGCGAGCGGGAATTTGCATTCGTACGCATAATGCGGCCGAGGAGCCGCGCTGCCTGCCCCTTTCGTCCTCCCGAGGGATTTTCTCAGTCCTCCACTCCCTTCTTCCTACTACTCCGTCTTGCGCGTCATTTGCTCTTCGAGGGGAGATTACGTCCAAGTTCGGGGTTAAAGCGCGTCTTCTGTCGTCGTACGTATTGTAGTATCATGGAGAAAGAAAGAAAGAGAGAGAGAGAGAGAGGGACATTATCCTAAGACACACACATATCCTCTAAGGACTGTTACAATATGAAGTTACATAAAACACATGATTAATGTGAAAAAGTTATAAGAAATTGTATTTGGTACATTACTTGAGATGGTACCTAATATTTGATATATGAGATGGTTTTACAAATTTAAATTAATATATTTTTAATATACTTTCAGCAAATTAATTATTAGTATAAATATTTATTGGTAGAACAAGATATTTTCTTATTTTTAATTAGAGAGAGAGAGAGAGAGAGAGAGAGAGAGAGAGAGAGAAGGGGTGAGGGGTAACGTTATGTTATAATGCAAATTTCGAAATGTATAAGTTAGACTTTACACGCTCGAGGGAGCGGAATGAAAAATGGATTGCGAGTCAGGCAACACGAAGAAGAGAGGGGGAGGGGGCACGTTGGTGCACCGACGCATGTTAGATGAAGTATTTATACACCGTCCTCAATGTATATAAAGATGTCCGTATCGATTGACGAAGCGGACCCGCGTCCCGGCGGGCAAACTTGTAATCAAGATCGAACGCTCTCGGAGGATGACAGAGGAAAAAGAAACGAGCGCATTAATGCATCCGGGAGTTAATTGAACCTCCCGCGTCAAAATCGTAAACGTGTCGCTGACACATCTCGCATAAATAATGGATCGCCCTGCGCGCGTTAATCTGTAACCGAGTGTTACTAAATAAGTACAACATTATTCCGGCAGTCGCGATAAGTATTGCCCGGGCGGTTATAATTCGTCGTACATAATCGGAATAACGCGCGGCAATAACTCACGCACCGCGAGTAATTATTATTGCCGGGCCGCAATTAGTTATTCCCTCTCTTTCTTTCTCTACTCTACTCTACTCTACTCTCCCCCCCTCCCGCCACCCTATCTCCCCGGGATGATACTCCGCAACATTTTATTGCTGATTTATCGTTGCTCGCGTGTTAAGGAAACGTATCGCGCGTTGCCCGGACGCTCGTTTCAAATGATCAAAAGCCAGTTTCTTATTAAATAGGATTATTTTTATGAAGTCATGCCGCGCGCGACTTCTCACGCGATGTTGAGAACTCGGGCCCGGCGGACGAGGAAGGGGAAGATGTCATGTCGGTCGTTATAATTATCGGCATCGTCCGATATCACACGACGCGCTCAATTAGTCCCTTTATACCGCGAGATTAAATTATTAAGCTTCACACACAACAATGTCGGGAAACCTTGAAGGTATTAAAAGTACCACAGACACATTCCATTAATGGAATATAAAGAAAAATTTAATGAGAAGCACTCCAGATGTACATTACCTGACTTAGTTAAACAGAAATTTCTCGACCACGCGCAACATTTCTGCATATTCGTGCATTATGACTGTTGAATATTCTAAGGAAACAATAGCATTAGAATATTCAACAGGCAGGTCATATATGGATATGTAAAAACAATGCGCGTGATCGGAAAGTTCTTTTGTAACTAGGCCTATTAAATGTTTAGGTTATTAAGCCGTCTAGAGTATACTCGTTTTGTACTTTTTATCGAATAAGTTATATTCAAGTTATCACGATTAAGAGTCCTTGCTGATGTGCATACGCAGTAATTGGTTGACAGGAGCCGAAATGATAGTACAAGGTGTGACAATAAATTTGGAGAAGGCAGAATTTATTCTAATATAAAAGAATGCGCGCGTGAGCGTTATTTTGAAACAATTTTTATATATTTTATAAAGCAAGATAAAACATGACAGTATTTTGAATGCACATGAACATGTTGGCTCTCAATTGCGACAACTTGAAGTGCTGCACCTTAATTCAGTCAAAAGTGTGCAAATGCCATTTTGCAGCCAAGCACAGGGAAAGCACATAAAAAATATGAAGAAAGCAAAAGAAAAAAAAAAGAGCACTTCGTTTGCGGTGTTCACCAATTTTTCGGCACCCTCGTTCGGATTTTATCAGAGTATACGGGGATGTATTAGTTATTCACTAAATATTTAATAATTTACTTATTTTAAAATCTCTATACCTCTTGACACTTGATAAAATCCGCACAGGAATGCTGGGAACAGGCAAAGTGTCGGCTGTTGGACATTTTCCCTTCGTCGTAATCAATCGATTCGTTATGACCGCGATAATGCAGTCACAGTGTTACCGTTTTGCTTCCAACGCAGGCAAATACACCGTACTTCACCGTACTTCACCGTTCGGCGAGAAGACGCAAGAAACGTGGTTTGCCGACCGCGCGGCCATTTCCAATTTTCCGGAGCCGTCGACCCTTTGCTTCGAGGAAGCTGACGACGACGTATCGCTCTTTCGCACACCTCGCAGTCACGGCACTTTTCGATTCTCCAGCGGGGAGAGAGTACCCATCGTCCACAGTGTCCGCGCAGTAATCCGAGGAGGGCACGGTGGCACAAAGCGGCCGAGGGCCCCGTGAGTACGAAGCTATGTCGAAAACGAGCGGGGCCCGATACCGAGAGATAGGAGGGCCGAATCCGGACGTCGCCCGGCATCAACGCAAACGAGCGTGAACCGCGGACCGATTAAGGGTATGGGGAGGGGCGAGGGGGTTGTTACGACAGGGGGCCGTACTCATTTGCCGTACTGCCGTACGCTATACCGGCGAATCTTTACGCGAGTTTTTACGGCTGCTTTCAGATTTCGCTGACACGTTCGGCGCAAAGGTTCCCGGGCTTAGAGAGAGAGAGAGAGAGAGAGAGAAAGAAAGAGAGAGAGAGAGAGAACGTGCGCTTGGAATGTCACACAAAGGAAAGAAGCGGAGGCGCGCAACGGGCGTGATTCTCTCTCCGTCAAATTGCTCGTAAAGAGCCGGCCGATATGGACCCTAATAGCCCGTGCTTACGGCCGGCTGAACTAGTTATTATTTCCGTCGCCCTTCGCCCGCCTTTCGTAGGGCTCGTATTTATGTCTTGCCTGCTTTAGTGTTGCGCGAAAATATTGTTTGCTCGGCGAAATACGCACCGAGCTGACTCGACGATTTCCTCGCGAATCTGCCACGCTCATGAGTGACGTCTCTCAGTCCGTCGTTCGATGCGCAAAGCTTGGCACGCGCTTGTCCTTGTTTTCCGAAATTTACCCCCTTTTTCTCGCCAGCTCAATAGCCAACATGGCAGCACACGTCGCGGTCGTGTGAGAGGAGCGACATTCGGGTGAGGAATAAAATAAGAGAGAAAGGTGAGAGATCGGTCCGCGTGGCGTAGTATGGAACGACTCACTTACAGTGAAACGTGGAATTCCAGAGATAAGGAGGGAGAGAGGGGAGCCGAACAGCAGACCGGGATATTTCAATTTCGTGCTGCTTATCTCGCGGCCGTTGACTTACCGAGGTAAAGAAGCGTCGCTTTAGCGTAATTACCGACAAACGACTCGCGATGGATGAGCCCGTCGTCGTCGTGGAGATTACCACGGACGAAACTCGAATGGCACCGCGGCGATATACCGGCGTTTGGTTGCCGCGACGAAAATCCCTCAGCAACATCGTCGTTTGCCCACCGTCGTACAAATCGCCGTACATCGGCCGACCCCGAGATCAATAAATCACCAACTTCCCTCAAACTGCTCGCTCTCGTTAAAATGCCGGCGCGTCTTTATTTCCATGTTTTCCCATTCACAATCCGCTTCGCGTCGCTATTCGCGCTTCAACGGTCTATGCGTGTGATTAACTGCGCTCCGATAATGGTGATAAGTCGATCGCGTGATAAGTCGATTCTTCATGTCGAACTAATAATAATGACCGTTCGGAGTTGCCCGCCCCCCTTCTCTCTCTCTCTCTCTCTCTCTCTCTCTCTCTCTCTCTCTCTCTCTCT